ATGAAACACCATTACACCCCACTGACACAGCTAACAAGATAAACGACTTCTTCTCAAACATAGGATCTAATCTCGCCGTAAAATCCCACATACCAATGCCCTTTGCCGGGCTTCCTAGAGGGAAATTTCCCAAATTTTCCTTTTTCCCTGCAAAACTGACCCAGGGAAGTCTTGAGACAAAAAGCATTAAAAAAAAACTGGGGGAATCGCTCATGTCCCACCATTACTGTACAACGACCCGGCCCCATGCCCCTTTTGCATGTTTTTTCATTATTTTTAAAAAGTCAAAGGACAAAACACCTTCCCCGAAACTACTCAAGAGGGAAAGGGTTCACCAATAAATAAAGGGGGTGACCCTACGATTTAAAACAACTATAGGCCAAATCTAACTTACCATTGCTATCCAAAATTTTTGAGAAACTCGTGCCAAGGACGTATCATTTAAAGGGCTCAAACATACTCAACCCCTGCCATTTTGGATTTAGGAAAAAAAAAACTAAGATGAAATCATAAAAATGCTAGATCTGCTTTACACAGCATTGGAAAATAAGGAATACCCCCTAGGAATTCTTATGACCTAAAAAAGTTTTGACACAGTGGGACCACGACATCCACCCCACAAACTTGTCATAGGGAAAGAGGGCCCTGAGATAAGATAAGATTTCGTCGGATTTTTTTCCCCGGAGGGTTTTGCCACCCCGGATAACCCAAGAAAGTCAGGCGTCATCGAGGACGTCTAACTTTTTTCCATTTGGGGGCCTTAATCTGTCCCCCCGGGTCGAACCCACACCAGCGACTAACACCCCGGTACCCTATTTGCTCTAGGTGAACAGGCAATAGGTTGTAAGGAAATGTGTGGGAAATTTCCACCCGCCGGGAATCGAACCCGGGGGCCCCCCGTGAGTGAACGGGGGGTTTTGCCCCCAGACCACCGGGCCACCGGGGGCCCTGCACTTGCTTTTTCAAATTTTTCATTACTAATAGGATCAGTACTCACCTTAAGACAAGCAAACAGCAAAACCCGGCCCCTTGATACTGGAGTTCCGCAGGGAAGTGCCTTTGGCCCCTCTCTTCCTCATATACCATGACCTTCCCCAAAAGTATCCCAACACCTGAAACCCTTCCTTTGCTGATGACACGCTTTTTCACTCTCACCCCAATCTTTTCCACCTCCAAAAAAAACCCTTGTGAATGAGGGCTGATTAAAATTTCGACTGGATGACAGCCAATAAACTAGCTTAAAACTGACAAAACCACTATTTATGTTTTGGTACAGGCAGGAGATGCAAAATTTAAAATTAAGATTGCGCCTCTAATTTCCAGAAATAATGGGGCAAATTCCAGGCTTATACTTGACAAAAACCTAATTTCGCCCCATATCCAATATAGCCAAAAAAGTATCCAAACGGTGGGATCCTCTCCAAGATACGATACTACGTGCCCCAAAATGCCCTTCTCACACTATACCCCTCATTATTTTTCCTACCTCACCTATGCTATTTGTGCTTGGGGATCAAATGCGAAAAACAACCTAAAGCCCAAAAATAACACAACAAAAAACTGCAGTAAGAATAATCAAAATCCCCCCCTGGGGACAACCCCCCCCCTCTTATAAACTAAACTTGCTCCCAGTTTAGTACATCCACACTTACTCTGTGCAAAATTTTTATCTACGGGCCTTAAATCTAATACAACCCTTTACCTTAAAAATTTCTTTATAGTTGTGACGAAACCCACAGCATAAACCAACCAAAATCTCTACGACTTCCCGTGTCCGTAAAACCTTTTTCAAAAAATTCAATGTATTAAAGGGGGCCCAAAATCGGAAAACCCCCCACCTGGAAACTCAAACTGCAACACATTATCACCTTCAAAACTACCATTAGAAAAAAATCTTATCTCCCCCGTACACCCGTCAACTAACTACAAAAGAATACCACCTGGTGGTTCACATTACACCAAAATCACCATTTTCCAAAACGGGAAAAATTAAACCGTCTTTTAAAAAAAGAAACCTGTGATACTCCAATACTGAAAATATTTTCTGTTCCCCCAAAAAAAAAGCATTACATTACTAAACTCACAAACATATTTAGTTCCTTAGCCCTAATACCAACTACCTCATAATTTGTAATATTTTACAATTAAGAATAAAAATAAGTATGGCCCCAAAAGCCACCCTGCTAAGGGTTTTAGTGTACCTCTGTAATCACAATTTTACTAATGTAAACCCAAAAAATAAAACCCAAAATTTTTGTAAAATGCATTGTAATCCTTATAGAGAATAAACTTTGAATTTAATTTGAATTTGAAAAATTTGAATTTGACATCCTTGTCCAGTCGGATATGAGGTGAGGAACAAGTGGGGGGCGGTACTGTGCCTTGTGGGAACAGGCTTTTCACCGTCTGCCCCGGAGTTTACTCTGTTGACGACTACTCTCTGTGTTCGTTTGTGGGAAAAAAAAGATCCATCGACCGACTTTTTTCCCGTTTTTCCTTTTTGCACGCATTTGGCGCTATTAGCCTGGTCACCCTTTTCGAAGGGTTTTGCAAAAATCGATATATTACATCTGATTCCCTTTTTTGTCTTCTAGTGCATTTAGGACCTTGTCGTAGTGATCCAATAGTTGAGACAGACAGGAGCGACCTGTTCTAAACCCATGTTGCCCTGGGTTGTGTAACTGATGGGTTTCTAAATGGGTGGTGATCTTGCTTCTTAGGACCCTTTCAAAGCTTTTTATGATATGGGATGTTAGTGCTATTGGTCTGTAGTTCTTTGCTGTTGCTTTACTGCCCCCTTTGTGGAGTGGGGCTATGTCTGTTGTTTTTAGTAACTGTGGGACGACCCCCGTGTCCATGCTCCCTCTCCATAGGATGGAAAAGGCTCGTTCTTGATGAACACAGAGTTCCATGAGTCTGGCCCTGGGGCAGAGTGCATGGGCATGTCATTTATCGCCTGTTCGAAGTCATTTGGCGTCAGGATAAACATCGGATAGGCTTGTGTTAATCAAATTTTGTGGCTCTCTCATAAAAAATTAATTTTGATCTTCGACTCTCAGTCTGGTTAGCGGCTTGCTAAAAACTGAGTCATATTGGAACTTGAGTAGCTCACTCATTTCCTTGCTGTCATCTGTGTAGGACCCGTCTTGTTTAAGTAGGGGCCCAATACTGGACGTTGTTCTCGATTTTGATTTGGCATAGGAGAAGAAATACTTTGGGTTTCTTTCGATTTCATTTATGGCTTTTAGTTCTTCCCGCGATTCCTGACTCCTAAAGGATTCTTTTAGCTTAAGTTCGATGCTTGCTATTTCTCTGACAAGTGTCTCCCTACGCATTTCAGATATATTGACCTCTTTTAGCCGCTCTGTTATTCTTTTCGTCGCCTGTAAAGGGAGCGCCTGTCTCTTTCTATTTTACATCTACTCCTCCTTTTTCTTAGAGGAATAAGCCTTGTGCATACATCGAGTGCCACCGAGTTAATCTGTTCTAGGCATAAGTTGGGGTCTGTGTTACTTAGTATATCTTCCCAGCTTATATCGGTTAGGACTTGGTTTACTTGGTCCCACTTTATGTTTTTGTTATTGAAGTTGAATTTGGTGAATGCTCCCTCGTGACTAATCTCATTTTGTCGGTGTGGGGCTCCACGCATACATGTCTGAACCTCAATTATGTTGTGATCTGAGTATATTGTTTTTGATATGGTGACATTTCTTATCAGATCATCATTGTTAGTGAAGATGAGGTCTAGTGTATTCTCCAGTCTAGTAGGTTCTATTATTTGCTGGTTTAAATTGAATTTTGTGCAGAGATTTAAAAGCTCGCGTGAGTGTGAGTTTTCATCAGTCTTTATGCTGCTATGTATGATAATCTGTGTAACTATATTTGTGTATACCTGAATAAACTTACTTACTTACTTACACCTTTCAAGGCAGGTGAAATGGCTGACCTAGAAAATGTACAGAGAACCTTCATAGCACACATAACTGCGATAAAACACCTCAATTACTGGGAACACTTAAAGTTCCTAAGCTTGTACTCCCTAGAACGCAGGTGGGAGAGATTCATGATTATATACACTTGGAAAATCCTATAGGGATTAGTACCAAACTTGCACACGAAAAATCACTCCCTATGAAAGCAAGAGACTCGACACACGATGCAACATCCCCCCAATGACAAGCAGGGGTGCCACTTGCACCATAAGAAACAACATAGTAAGTGTCAGGGACCCAAGACTGTTCAACTCCCTCCCAGCATACATAAGGGGGATTACCAATAGACCCCTGGCTGTCTTCAAGCAGGCACTGGACAGGCACCTAAAGTCAGTACCTGACCACCCGGGCTGTAATTCGTAACAGTAACAGCCTGGTTGATCTGGCCCTGATCCACCATGAGGCCTGGTCACAGACCGGGACGCGGGGGCGTTGACCTCCGGAGCCCTTTCCAGGTGTACAGGTCGAGATCATTTGGATGGAAGGTTAAAGGCGGGCCATCCTGAGTTATGTGTATGATCCAAAAATCGACACACTGTATGTGGAGAAGCCAAGATCATAGTCATATCTGGAATCATAGTCAAAGCCGTGCGAAGATCAGAAGTGTCTAAAGGGTCGGTCGGAACCGCGGTACCAGAGGAGGGTAAGGGAACGTTACCTGGAGAAGGTGCCGGGTTGGAAGAGAGGTCCGAAAGAATGGTCCGAAGACGTACAGGGTCTAGGGGTGCTGCAGGAAAGGTGTCCGGAGAGGCAAGTCATAGGTATGGGTCTCTATGATAAGTTTCCTTTTTATTTATTTATTAAAAAAGAAGGAGAAAATGGAAAAAAAGGGGGTGGGAGAATATGGAGGGATAGCTCCCAGGAGGAATGAAAGGAACTGTATATCCCCTTGCATGCCTAAGAGGGCTGTCAGTGTAGCCAGCAGTGAAGATGCAGCTTAGAACCCTTGCTATACCCTATCCGTCATGCCAGTAAACCAGCAATCCAGGATAGCAACCTCACACTCACCGAGACATCTCGGTGGATAAAAGAATGGGCGGCCGGAAACCAGCCACAAAGCATACCTCTCTTAGGAACTACCTCCCGGAACCAACAGGCAGCCTCCAGAGATGCACTCGTCATCAGAAGGACACCCTAAGCCACCCCCCAGAACTCTGAAGGAAGATCGGGACATTCCCAGATGATCCAGATACCACGGCAGACACTACCACCACCACCAAGGACCTCAATGGAATGGGATGGATAACGACACACTTTCTCCAGCCTAGGAACTAGAATTGCTGAGGGGAGGACCCCAAAGGCTAATAGCAGGAAATGAAGAGGGGGATGGGGTAAGGAGGAGGGATGGGAAGGGAAAGGGAGTAGAGGGCAAGGAAGGGAGGATTTGGAGTAATTAGGGTCGGTCGGAGGAAGAAAACCAAAAGGTCCAATTCCTCAGACCGAAAGCCTCTTTACCGCAACAAGGAGCTATACATGTAAATACCTGGAGTTATATACCGCCTTGGACCTGGAGTTTACCTGGAGAGAGTTTCGGGGGTCAACGCCCCCGCGGCCCGGTCTGTGACCAGGCCTCCTGGTGGATCAGCGCCTGATCAACCAGGCTGTTGCTGCTGGCTGCACGCAAACCAACGTACGAGCCACAGCCCGGCTGATCAGGAACTGACTTTAGGTGCTTGTCCAGTGCCAGCTTGAAGACTGCCAGGGGTCTGTTGGTAATCCCCCTTATGTGTGCTGGGAGGCAGTTGAACAGTCTCGGGCCCCTGACACTTATTGTATGGTCTCTTAACGTGCTAGTGACACCCCTGCTTTTCATTGGGGGGATGGTGCATCATCTGCCAAGTCTTTTGCTTTCGTAGTGAGTGATTTTCGTGTGCAAGTTCGGTACTAGTCCCTCTAGGATTTTCCAGGTGTATATAATCATGTATCTCTCCCTCCTGCGTTCCAGGGAATACAGGTTTAGAAACCTCAAGCGCTCCCAGTAATTGAGGTGTTTTATCTCCGTTATGAGATAATATGTTTATTCTGCACTCCATACTCAGCTTGTGGTCGGTAGTAAGAGGAAGTGCAAGGAAAAGGAAAGTGGTTCCATATTATTAAAAATATAAGTAAATATTAAAGACTGAGGGGCAACAGTTCAGGTTTCAATGTATATGTGAAAATGCTCCTTCCAGAAATATGCTAAATTTCGTGCTGGCTTGGAAGAATGAGAAGTCTATCTAATGTAATGATCAACGCAAACAAATATACGAGAATGTTAAACTCTAATTTTTTTTTTTTGGGGGGGGGTATTGTTCTCAAGTATAATTAAATCTTGTAATAACCATACTAGTTTATAATGAGAAAAATTTCTGGATGTGAGGACTGAGGGGAGAGGCTGATGACGTCAGTGTCAAGAATAACAGACAGGTGACTGACAACAATATTACTGTTATTCATTACATTAACACTATTTACAGTGTATTTATATCCAGTGATAAACTATACACAGTAATCTTAACCAGTGAGTGAACAAGTGGCTCAATATTATATATTTTTACTCCTGGCAGGTGTGTCCAGCTGATGCTGTGTGAGGTGCGGGTTGGTGACTGCCAGATGAAGCTAAAAATACTCTTAAAACTATGTTGCTGGTTCCTACCTCTGCCAGGGCTGCTGCAGGTAGGCTCATTACCATGTTTTACACACTTGGCACTCTAAACCTATGGTTTATCACTTATTTTGTATTTTGGTTGAATAAACACAAGTGTTGCTTATTGAATTGTTTATTTCTCTGTAAAAATTACAATGGGTGGTTTACATATTATAAAACAACAATTACAAAGAAAGCCACAAGCATGCCTAATAAGCCTAGGCATTTCAGGCAGATTTCAGGCTCTAGCATTTGGGATAAGAATCTCTCTTATTTACATATACTTTGTGATGAAAATATGAATATGAATTTAGTTCCCTTGTACGTACTATGAAATATTTGTGATGCTAATAAATAGGTATGCTGGTAGCAACAGCCTAGTTGACCATCTAATCTAACAGGCTTGACCTCAGGCCAGGTGTTGAGAGTAGGACTTGAACCTGGTCAGAGGTATGTCACAGGCACTAGTAATTGTGATATTTACTAAGCATTTTGACTGCATAAGACAGTCAGCCATAAAATTTATACACAGCACAATAAAAAATATAAAACTAGCAAACAATAAAGTCACTGAATATGTGCATTCAAGGTAAAACCTTATGACGGAAATTATTTTCTGGTTTGAGTTACTTCAATCAGGTACATGTGTGCTACTGATTCTCAGTTCTGTTCAATAATTCTCACCTACAGATACAAGGCTTCAAAAACCTTCAAATGCAAATAAAATGCAGCCTTCAAATATAAATAAATTACAAAACTAACAATAATTATCATGTAATATGCTAGTCGCCACTAGTGTAATTTTCGGTACAGTACAGTAATAAGAAGTATAGAGAAGGTCGCTTATGGCATTTCAGATAAATGCTTCTAACACTAGCAGTTATTATGGTTGTTGAATATTTTTGCATATACTAAACCATACCCCCGGCCGGGATTGAACCCGCGGTCATAGAGTCTCAAAACTCCAGCCATGTTGCATATATGTACTGTACTGCATAGTACTGGTAGTCTGGTATCTACGAACACCACTGTTATGAGTGTGACCAGCTCTACATGGAGCTCATTACCTTTGTACTTGGTCACAATTGTGACCATATCTAGTTCATTAACGGTTGTTACTTGCTCAGCTATCAAAACTTTGGAGTCCAGTTCCCTGGACCAATTATGTACCTCTGTAATGTTTTGACTACCACCCACAGGATGGGTCTGGGGTGCATAATAAACATATTAAACTAACTAAACAACACTAATCAGCTCTTGTGTACTTCAACAGTTGGGAAACTTATAGTTTTAATATTACTGCAATAATTTCAGTTCACAAAGTTGGAATATACAATAATATATAATATATATAGAGCTATAAAATTTTTGGTAATAGAAATGCAGTATGTATACCATTGTGTTTTTTGCGAGATTGTTCAGCATGACGACCTATCAGATAAAAAATAAACTCATTCTCTTTAATTGTATTACTGTACAAAAAAAGTTATAGCATAGTTTCCATTATATTTCCACACTTAAATGTATGTACTTAATTGTTCCATTAGATTGCACTGCATCTTACTGGCTGCCCTGTTAAAATATTAATAATTTTAAGTTGAATGTCACTGCACAAACATAGTACAGTTCCATTGTATGATGTATCAAGATAAGGGCCACAAAGAGTAAAAGTTCATACAGACAGGAAGACCAACTTTGTTCTAAAGTTTGGCTTCTTTTTACAAAAGTACTGTATATGTATTTGTTAAACCGGGAGATCAACATCTTAAGTTCATATAAATTTCCTTGTATTTAACAAGTGAATGCATACTTCTCAAAACCTTCACACCTTCCTTGTTAGTCTGTTTTTAAGTTTGCTAATGTATGATTATACAGTGGTACCTCGAGTTTTGGCCATAATTCATTCCAGAAGGCTGTTCAAGTGCCATTCCCGAACGAATTTGTTCCCATAAGGAATAATGTAAATTAGATTAGTCCATTTCAGACCCCCAAAAATATGCTTAAAAAACCACCTACAAAAATACACTTACATAAGTGTTCGAGTTGGGAGCTGTTTGAAACTTGAGGTACCACTGTATTTTCATTTCATTGTACTGCATATACTGTTTTGGAAACATTTTTATGTAGGGTTGTTAATATCATCAAGGCATATCTCTTTTTGAGAAAGAGTATTGAGATATTACCTAGATTATTCTAGTAAACTCTTGATTTAACAACATCTCAGTTTAATGAACTTTATAATTACAGGACAAAATGTGCTGGGTCAGTTTGTTCAGAAACAACAAACAAAGTTTGTTGCTTACAGAATTAGCCACTACTGTTATAATGCCTGGAAAATGATCTTATCTTTGTGCACCACAATCACCCACTAAACCCCCACTAGTCTGTTAAATCAGGATTTACTAATGCATTGAGAGGCTGGTCAAAATCTTAATATCTTCAAACATTTTCTCTATATTAAGATTTTTTTTAGTCTGTCTCCTAATAAAATTAATGTGCAGCAGGGTAAATTGCCAGTTCTTCAATCCATACTTGATTTCAGGAGGCATGGCCAATACAGTAGAACTGCCACTACAGATCTCTGCACATGCCTATTTGATGAACCATATGGTTGATGCAGATGATGATGATGATGTCAGACTTCATTTAGCTGCTTTGTGTGGTGATGATAAAGGCTTAAGACAGATCACAGCAGACCCTCAGTAATATTCAGTGGTTGAACTATCGTGTTCGGCCTTACATGTCACCTCCACTGAGATTAGCAGTTTCAGGTAAGTTGAAGTGAGCGAGAAGAATATATATGCGGTGGTACCTTGGTATGTATATGTCCTTAATCCATTCCAGGAGCTTGAACTGATACCAAACAGGACGAATACCAACGAATTTTCCCATAAGAAAATATAGGGAAAACGATAATCCGTTCCGATAAAAAAAATCCTGTTGTTATTGGCATATTATACATTGATGGGGTTGTATAAAATAATTTAAACACTGCTTAATACTAAAATGCATAATTAAACTTGCTTAATACTAAAATACATACATAAATGCAAAAGAATTAGATAAAAATAAATGCAAAATTTAACTTTCACTTTTACTTTGCTGAAAATAGTCGAGTGCCTACTAGGATAGTGCTGAGAAGGGAGGAGGAGGAGGATGGAGGAGGAGGAGGAGGAGGAGGAGGAGGAGGAAATGTTATTGTTTGGAAGGAAAGTCCCCTTCTCTTTTCTGTCTCTTTTTTCATATTTGGACCTGGTTGAAGCTCACCAGGTTTTACTTTTACTAAAAATCACTGAATGGTAGCAACGGGCATACTGACGCTAGTGGGCAGTCATGGCTTTGTCTCAAGAGAGAGGTAAACAAGGATAGTGCATGGTGTTGTGACTCGTTTGACCCATACAAGTTCTAGCATGCGAGTCGTATTCCAAACATAGGTTGTATTACCAAGCAAAAGTTTTTGCGTCCAAACAGGACGTGTACCAAGTTGGACTTATTCCAAAGAGGACGTGTACCGAGGTACCACTGTACTATATAAGTTATTGCTTTCTATCATATACAGTTGTAGTACCCTTTTGATAATTTTGGCACAGTTCAGCTAAATTGTTAAACACTGACTGTCCTGACAAACCTAAGGGATTGTGGAGGATTTTCTGCACCACCTTCCATATGCAGGGGCCCTTAAATTTCTTAATCACTCCTTGATCCAGTGATTGTTTCGAGGATGCCATATTGGTGGTACAACCAAACTTTATTATTTGGGTCCATAGACTGCAAGACTTGAGGATGGCTACTGTATCAAGAGTAAGGAAAACCTTGCATGAAAGGTTCTTTTTTGCCAGGTACATCTTGAAGAAAGGAATAAATTAGTACTTGAACCAGTAGACAAACAAGACCTCATTCATATACATATGCTCTTATGTTAGACTGCCAAACAGGCAAAGTAGTTTAGTCTTTATCTTTTAAACACAAGGATTATGGGAGCAGTAAATTAGAATTAGCTGGCACTTAAAATCACATAATGCATTACTGCAAAGAAGCAAGATAAAGAAATAAATTGTTACCTTGAAGATGGCATTTTACTGAAATGTAATCCTGTTCTCATCAGCATTACACACTTGCTTAGGCTCATAGATACCTCATTAAAAAATGACCTCCAGTGGGCAGGAATATCCTGCACTTTAAAATTGGTAAATCATCCTGCTCACACAGGCTTGCCATCCTGTGTAAGCAGGAGCACAAATACTCTTGTACAGGCTTGTCATCCTGCTCACACACTGTTTTTATAATACAAGTGGACACACCCTTATCATAAGGGCATTAAGTGGAGCATTTTTGGTTGTTTTCTGCTCACTCCCACACATTTAGTAACTTTAAAAGTCTTATTCAACCATATTGTCCTCTTGATATTATTTTCACCAGGCCACAGTCAGGGTTACTCATGACACATGCTCTTATCTTCATTTATTGTCTTGAATTGAACAGTTAGTTGATTCTTAACCTGAACACACGTGCTGCTTTTGTGACACAGTAGGACCAACGGCATCCTACTCCACAAACTTGGACCATTATGGTTATAGAGGGCCATACGGCTTGCATATTTCAAATCCTACCTTACTAATAGGCGGGGCCGAGCTATCGTTGTCACCATAATGACACAGCCTCATCAACACGGGCCATTGATACTGTAGTTCCACAGGAAGTGTCTTGGTCCCCTGCTATTCCTCATTTAATTAATGATCTTCAAATGTCCCAACACCTGAAACCCATTCTCTTTGCTGCGACAATGACTTACATCATCTCCCACCCTAAATCTTGCCCACCTCAACACCATTGATCAATGAGGAGATGCTCAAAATTCTTGACTTGGGACAGCCAAAAAACTTTACCTTACACTGACAAAACCTACTGCATTATGTTTGGTAGCAGAGCAGGTGTTGACAACTTACTTAGATCGACGACACTCTAATTGCCAGACATAATGAGGGCAAATTCCTAGGTCTATACTCGACAACAACTAAATTTCAGCACCCATATCCAACACATAACAAAATAAAGTATCCAAAGATTACTCTCCAGATACGATATTACGGTGCCGCGAAACAGCCTTTTCGCCACTATACCATTCGCTAATTTATCCATACCTCAACTATGCTTTTGTGCTTGGGGATTCAACTGCAGCAACACATCTAAAAGCCAATAATAACCAACAAAAGCTGCAGTAAGAGTATAACTTAAATCCCATCCCTGGCAAACCTCCCCCCCCACTCTTCATAGATCTAACTTACTACGCATATCTATCATTACAGTTATTTATAATAGACTTAGTGTCACACTTAAAATTTTTACTTGGCAACTTCCTTGTCCACTAGTATTCCATTTTTTTATGACATGATTATATTGACAGGCAAAAATGGATTGATAAAAAAGATTGAAAATGAGTGGTGAACATGGAGAGGAAGGTATGGTATAATATGCAGTCATGGAGACAACTGGCAAGCATGGAAGGCTGTGTACAGTATACCAAAGATTCCCAAGCTTAGGATCTTTCATTAAAACAATAACGTCACTGTAGGTGCAGAGGGAAATTTTCATGTTCATGTGCTAAGACAGTTTCACATGAAATGCTCTCTCTCCAAACTTTATGGCATAAACAAATATGACAATTTCTGTGATATCACTGCCTTTCAGATTTCAGTTAGCAAAATATTAAGAATACAAAATTTCATCATGCCAGATGTGCAATTGTGCTGTATATAAATTTTACTCAATACTTTATTTAATTAACTGCAAAGTTTATATTTTTTTATTAAATAAAATAATAAGATACTCATTGTAACCTCGGTAAGAACATAAACGAAAGGAACACTTGCAGCAGGCCTACTGGCCCATGCGAGGCCAGGTCCAAGGTCTCCTACGTTTAAGCCAATGCACCCAACCTTGTCAGGTCAGGTCACCTTGATTAAGGAGGAACTCGGCATCTGTATGGTAGCACAGCTAATCAGGTCCATCTCACACCCACCCACCACCCACTCATTGTATTTAATCCTAACCTATTTTTAAAGCTACACAACATTTGCCTCTGGGACTGTACTTGGGAGTTTGGTTCCGCTCATCCACAACTCTATTACCAAACCAGTACTTTCCTAATCCTTCCTGAATCTGAATTTTTCTAACTTAAAATCATTGCTGCGAGGTCATGTCTAGGTAGATACTTCTGCACACTATTTACATCCCCTTTATTTATTCCTGTCTTCCATTTTACACCTCAATCATATCCCCTAATTTACGTTTCTTCTAGGGGAGAGTGCGATTCAGGGCCCTTAGTCTATCCTCATACGGAAGGTTTCTGATACATGGGATCAAACTTTGTCATCCCTCCTTTGTACAATGTTTCCAGAGCATTTATATCCATTCTGTAATACGGTGACCAAATGTTGCAGCATAAATTAAATGAGGCCTAACCAAGGATGTATAGAGTTGAGACACCTAGGACTCCTATTATTTATGCTTCTTGATATGTGAAGCCCAAGGATTCTTATTAGCTTTATTGCGAACAACTTATGCACTGTTGTTCTTGGTTTCAAAGACTGCGTAACCAGAACTCCTAAATCTTTTTCCGCAATCCGTATATTAAGATCTACATTTATTTAGTTTATATGTGGCATGGTTATTGTCTGTCCAACATTTAGAACTTTGCATTTGTTTCTATATTAATTGCATCTGCCACCCTACGACCACTGCATCAGTCTATTCAAATTCGTCTGGAGTGCTCTAATGTCCTCGTCAGAATGAATTCGACGGCCTACAGTTTTTGGTGTCATCGGCCAAACTGATGATGTCGCTCTTTTATGCCTCATCTATGCGTTTATGTATATATTGTGAACGCAGGGGGCCCAACACTGACCCCTGTGGAACACCGCTCGTGACGCTTCCCCTTAATTCATTCCAGAAGCTGTTCGAGTGCCGCTTTGTTTGAGTATCGAACCATGTTCTTCCCAGCCAATTTTCTGTTTGGTTGGATGTTTTTCACTAATCGTCGTAGTCTCCCATGGTGGACTTGTTTATTGCAAAAATAATATAAAAAAAAATGCAAAGAAAACACGAAATAGTTTACAGTCAAGCAAAGTTCTGGAGGGTCGTATTTGTTTGGACGAGTGCTTTGTTAGAGTAGGGAGTGGTCGTATACCAAGGGTTTCCACTGTATTTTAAACCCAGTTGTAGAAGGCGGCTCAAAATACAATAGCATGGATAATGTTAAAAGAGATGGCGCACTGGGAAAATGCTGGTTTGTTTGATGTTGAAAATGAAGATTAAATGAAAATGAAAATGTTTATTTCCTTGGCAAGTGATAATGTGGGTTTACTATATTCTAAAATATTAATTACAAAGAAGGCCACTAGCTTGCCTAGGCATTTCAGGACCAGACTAAGCCTAATTCTTATGTATATTGGCACAGGTTAGGAGCAGTACATTTTAACCCTTAAAATGGTCCAAACGTAATTATACGTTTTTTCAACATCTGAAAGTATTGAAAAAAATGTAGATCTTTTTTTTTTGTTTTATATGTGAAACGTGTAAAAAAACTTTTATCTACATTTTTTTTTTGTTATATTTGAAAAATTATGTAAAAAAAATGTAGATCTCTTTTGTAGCACTACGGAATTTGAACGTCGATCTGTTTGGACCGTTTAAGGGTTAATGTACCTTATTCATACTGATATAAAAGTTAGGTAACTGAAGTGATTTAATTAGATTTATAATAATGGGTAGT